AAAGTTAAAAATTGATAAAAATTCTATCCATCAATAGATGGCGGTGCGTACAGATTAACATCACGTACGTGTGAATCCATGTTGCATAACCTTAACGGCGCAGTGGCGTAATCGCTAGAACATCCGTCTCTTACACTGAGATTCCGGGTTCGAGTCCCAGCGGGGGAACTTGTTTGCCCCTTTTTTCCTTTTTCCTCTTTAGTATGTATTATTTTTAATTTTCAATTTATTAAATTTATTTTTTATTTTTAATGTCTTTTATCTTTTGATTTCTTATTATTTTTTACTGTTTGGGATGGGATGGGATGGGATGGGATGGCATGCGATGGATGGGATGGGATGCGGTGCGATGGCATGGCATGGCATGGCATGGCATGGGATGTCATGGGATGCGATGAGATGGGATGGGATGCGGTGCGATGGCATGGGATGGGATGGCATGAAATGGGATGGATGGCATGAAATGGAATGGATGCATGGATAGATAGTTAGATTTTTTTGGGTATTTTCCTTTCAACCAAGCGGTCACCAACTGAGTAACGCCACTGATTTCCCCGGGGCAACGCCGGGTATCCCGCTAGCGAGTTATATATAAGAACAGTATCGATGTATGTAGTGCCACCTGGTGCTGAAATTTCTCAGTTACACCTATGATAGTATCATAGCTATTTGTACACATGAGAATTAAGACATTCTAAAACTATTTTAAGTCAATCATTTATTGAAAGGGTTCCTTAATATTTTTCATCCTCACCAAAGTTTCTGTAATTGTCATCATGGACATCTGACGTCTCTATCACCATTTTCTCATTGCATCATTCATACACATGCAGTTACATCTCATTCTCAATTATATACTTAATAAAGCAACGAACATTCAATAATTAAATAGCATTTATTAATAAACATAACATTGTTTGAATGCATACTATTTCAGTTATTAGTATTTTGATTACAATATATGTCCATACTATGCCAGCTAAAATACCATTTACACATGAAACAGAAGTCACGCATATATTTTTTCTTATTAATATCAAATGATACTTAAATTGAAGGTTTTCATAGATATTAATAATAAGAAATTATGATACATGTTTATTCCCTGCTGTCTCTAAAATGGAAACGCATTTATTTCATTGCTATTTTTTAAACTTGCTACATTATAAACTAGAAAGGGCTGTGCGCAAACTACATGTATCCCCCGTGTTCTCCCCAAGATGTGTAAGTATACGAAGTTTGGTCGCGCTAGGTCAATTAAGGGTCGAGTTATAGAGCGGAAGGGAAATATGATGAAGGTCAAGGTGAAGGTCAATGTCAAATAAAGGTTGCAGTGACCTGGTTTC